TCCAAAAAGAGGACACTCCACGGGGCCCCGGCCCCGCCGCCAGCCCCGCCCATGCCCCCGCCCCAACTCCACCCCCTCCCCTGCTTCCAGCGAACATTTGATTCGAGGGAAGCCTGAAGCAGGCAGCAGGTAAGCTGGGGTGGGGGGAGGAGGCGCGGCCCAGTCTGGCCCCCCCAACCGAGCGGCTCCCTTGGGCGGCTGGTCCCGGCCCCAGCGTCTCCAGCCTGGGGTGCCGGCCCCTGGCCCTGCACCCCCGGGCCAGCCCCCAGCCGAGCACCGCTGGCCCCAGCCCGGCCCCCAGCCCAGCACCCAGCGGCGCCGGCCCCTCCCTATTTTCCCGGACATGTTTGGCTTTTTGGGATTTCCCCCCAGACGGGGATTTGATGCCCAAAAAGCCGGACATGTCCGGGAAAATCCGGACGTATGGTAACCCTAACCTAACGAAGTCAGGGACAGAAGGCTGAGTCCAGGCTGGGCACAACTCACCATCTATCAAGCCTAGGAAAGCTGCCTCACACAGAGACCAATGCTTGGATTTGACCGGCAGAGGAGCCAACAGGGACATGCTGCCGTGGAAGCTCAGGGAAGTTTAATCCCCAAAGGGGTAACCAACCCAGGGAGGAGGAGGAGGAATGCCGAGGAGGGAGAATACTGCTCCCCACTGCCCAAAAAACTGGGCAGAAAAGTTCAAATAGGAGGAGGAAGGGCAGGAGCAAAAGAAACCACCTCCGTCTGCTGCTGTGGAGACAAAGAATCTGGCAGCAAGCAGGAGCAGTGGTAATATAACCAGACTGTGTGGTGCCAAAATGCTGATCCGTGAGTTACAGAAAGAGAAGAGCAGCCCATACGTCCAGAACAGTGGGAGATGCTGGGTTGCAGAAAAATAATTACCACATATTCAGAACAAACAATGCTTAATTAACAGTGTTCTTATGTCCCATTGACATCAATAGATCATAAGTACTTTCCTAAATCAGGATTGCTCTATTGAACTGAGGTAATATCCGCTGCCATATAATGACACAACTAGACCATATGCAGCACAGAGCTTCAATCCTAACTTTAAATTTCCAAACAGTCTTAAGAGAGTAGTATATTTTCTTTCATCCCATGTAACACAGCAACCAAGAATATATAGAAAATTAATTTCTAAAAAACATTTAAGTGTGTTCAAAATGCCCCCATGCCAAGCCAAAGACTGTGCCACAACTTTGCTTCATACTGTTAACTTTCTGCCCTGCATCAGCTTCTCATAAAATTCAAGATTCTCGCCCTCAACTGCCAGGCTCTATATTATCCTGCCTCCTCCTACAGTTCTTCTCTCAACTTTCTTTGTATCCTTTTCCACTTCCTACACAGATGCCAGTCCTTTCACCTTATTTCTTTCTTTGCTCCCTTTCTATCATGGCTCCTTCTGCACCACTCTCCTCATTCTCACCTCCTTAGAATCCCCCTCCCCTCTTTCTTCAAATCACCTCTTGAAAATTCATGTGTTTAGGAAACCCATCTACCCTTTCTTTCATCATTAGCAATGCACAAACCCTTCGTATTCTGAAACTGGTCTCCTATATTTTTGTCTTGAATTTGTATACATTTCAACCGATAACACATTTAGGACACCCAAACCTTTTTTCACTAAATTTGTGTGTGGTGTTTCTCTCTCACACATATTCTTGTAACACCCATGTATGAAGTCTATGAGAAATATTTTTTTCCTTCAAAATTCTCTTACCTTGTTCCCCAGCTTGAAAACCTCCTCCAGGTTTGTGCTATTTGTATTTATCATAATGGAATCTGTATCTCCATAAATCACTTCAAGGTTCATCTAAATAAAACAAGCAGCTTTAAACAAAGGAATTACAAAACCACCTCTCTCTTACCGTACCTTATCTAGTCTCTGGGTAAGGATACAAGGGATTAAAAAAAAACAAGGATAGTGGTAGGGGTCTACTATAGACCATCTAACCAGGAAAAAGAGGTGGATAAGTCTTTTTATAAACAACTAACAAAATCATCCAAAGCACACGACTTGGTGGTGATGGGGGACTTCAACTACCCAGATATGTGTTGGGAAAATAACACAGCAGGGCGCAGACTATCCAACAAGTTCTTGGAATGTATTGGAGACAACTTTTTATTTCAGAAGTTGGAGAAAGCTACTAAGGGAGAGGCTGTTCTAGATTTGATTTTGACAAATAGGAAGGAACTGATTCAGAATTTGAAAGTGGAAGGCAGCTTAGGTGAAAGTGATCATGAAATGGCAGAGTTCATGATTCTTAGAGATGGTAGGAGGGAAAACAGCACAATAAAGATAACGGATTTCAAGAAGGAAGACTTTCACAAACTCAGGGATTTAGTAGATAAGATCCCATGGGAAGCAAGTCAAAGGGAAAAAACAGTTCAAGAGAGTTTGCAGTTTTTCAAAGAGACATTATTAAAGGCACAAGAGCAAACTATCCCACTGCATAGGAAATTTAGGAAGTAAGACAAAAGACCATGCTGGCTTATCCAGGATATCGTCAGTGATCTGAAACTCAAAAAAGGGCTACAAAAAGTGGAAACTAGGTCAAATTACAAAGGATGAATATAAACAAATAATACAAGCATGTAGGGACAAAATTAGAAAGGCCAATGCACAAAACGACATTAAACTAGTTAGAGACAAAGGGCAACAAGAAAACATTCTACAAATATATTAGAAGCAAGAGGAAGACCAAGGACAGAGTAAGCCCATTACTCATGTCTTCAAGTCACCAGGGTCTGATGAAATCCATCCTAGTTGACTGAAGACATATCTGAGCTATTTGCAATTATATTCAAAAAGTCATAGAAGATGGGAGAGATTCTAGAGAACTGGAAAAGGGCAAATAAATATAGTCCCAACCTAGTAAAAGGGAAATAAAGGCAACCCAGGGAATTACAGACCAATAACTTCAGTACTTCAGTAACTAACAGTCAGCCTAGATAGTCAAGAACAAATCACGTCAAACCAACCTAATAGCTTTCTTTGACAGGGTAACAAGCCTTGTGGATGGGGGAAGCATTTGATCTGGTCTATCTTGACTTTAGTAAGGCTTTTGATACTGTCTCACATAATCTTCTCATAAACAAACTAGGTAAATACAATCTAGATGGCGTTACTATAAGGTGGGTGCATAACTGTTTGGAAAACCATTCCCAGAGAGTAGTTATCAGTGGTTCACAGTCAAGCTGCAAGGGCATATCAAATGGGGTCCTGTAGGGATCAGTTCTCGGTCTGATTCTGTTCAGTATCTTCATCAATGATTTATATAATGGCAGAGAGTAGACTTATAAAGTTTGCGGATAATACCAAGCTGGGAGGGGTTCCAAGTGCTTTCGAGGATAGGATTAAAATTCAAAATGATCTGGAGAAATGGTCTCAAGTAAATAGGATGAAATTCAATAAGAAGAAATGCAAAGTCCCTTGGGAAGGAACAAGCAGTTGCACACATACAAAATGGGAAATGACTGCCTAGGAAAGAGTACAGCGGAAAGGGATCTGGGGGTCAATAGTGGATCACAAGCTAAATATGAGCCAACAGTGTAATACTGTTGCAAAAAAAAGCAAACATCATTCTGGAATGTATTAGCACAAGTGTTGTAAGCAAGACACGAGAAGTAATTCTCCACTCTACACTGTGCTGATAAGGCCTCAATTGGGTATTGTGTCTAGTTCTGGGCGCCACGTTTTAAGAAAGATGTGAACAAATTGGAGAAAGTCCAGAGAAGAGCAACAAAAATGATTAAAGGTCTAGAAAATATGACCTATGGGGGAAGAGTGAAAAAAAATGGGGTTGTTTAGTCTGGAGATGAGAAGATTAAGAGGGGAAATGACAATAGTTTTCAAGTACATAAAACGTGGTTACAAGGAGGAGAAAGAAAAATTATTCTCGTTAACCTCTGAGGATAGGACAAGAAGCAATGGGCTTAAATTGCAGCAAGGGAGGGTTAGGTTGAACATTAGGAAAAACTTCCTGTCAGGTCTGTTAAGCACTGGAATAAATTGCCCAGGGAGGTTGTGGATGCTACATCATTGGAGATTTTTAAGAGCAGGTTAGACAAACACCTGCCAGGGATGGTCTAGATAATACTAGTCCTGCCATGAGTGCGGGAGGAATGGACTAGATGACCTCTTAAGCTCCCCAAAAGTCTACAATTCTATGATTCTATATTGCATTCCGTCGCATTTTCAAAATTTGAGCAAAATGTTTACACGACGCATTATTAGTTTAACAGTAAACTATACAAATAATGCAAAGCAGGATTTTATTTAAAAGTTTAGGTTTCATTAAAATGTATATATGTAAATATACGTGTACACGTGTGCGTATTCAAGGGGGGGAACTCAAGCATGAGACAACTAAGTAAACGCTAAAAGAAGAAAAATCAGGCAGACTTTTCAGTTGTACGTTTTGCCAGTTAGTATATTTTTTCAACACCATATGGGGTATAGAATACTGTAAATAAGAAGTGGAAGAAAATAAATGAACAATTCTGGTCTTAAGAGTTCCACCCCTATTGTTATCAACTGTCATTTTGGCTGGCTGAGAGGGAAGAGAGAAAACACCATCAGACTGACAGACACATTCAGACTATTCAAGACGAGGTATGTTTGCTTATAGCCAACATCTTTGAAGAGTAACATGATAGCCTGAAGATCCATTTGTGACCATCACAACACTGCTGCAAAGTACCCACATCATATAAAAGAAACATCACTTGTCTGACAAATTTCAAGGGAACCCATCACAGTCATATTTGACTGATAGATACAGTAATTAAGAGCACTACAAAGTTATCCACAGTGGACTCTGCTCTTCCTTCACCTCTTCCAGATTCAGCATTTGGCTTACAAGTCTTCTCTCTCCGCCACTTCAATATTTTTTTAAGAAGGCTTTTGCCAAAAAACAACTCTTTCAATATGCTCTGAAAAGAGTTAGGCTTTGACTCAGTCTTCCTCTTTTGTTTAGTCCTTACACGGGCAAGAAGCCTTGAAAGAGAATGTATTTTTCTTTTTGGATAAAGGAATAACCACAGTGTTCCATGTGTTTTCTATCTCCAGACTGAACTACTGTATCTGGAGATGAACACAGAAACTCCTTCTTGTGCAGAGCACTTTAGTCTGCCTCCTTAGCAGAAAAAAGCTATCATAACACCACATTGAATTATATCCAGGTCAAAACTCACAAGAACAGAAGACAGGCAAGATTTCCTAGCAAGGTAGAGGTGAAAGAAGGCAACTGTCACCATTATTGCTACCCAGATATTCAGGATTAGCAATAAATCCAGTGGGATCCTATCACCTTGACAAACGAAGACCAGATGTCTTTAATGGTGGGAGAGGTCAGTGCAGTTAAACAAATCTATATTAAACTCCAAATAGCATATAATCACCATATAATAGGGAGCCAAAAACAATTCTTAGTAAAACACTAGAACACAGAGCGTAACAGGCCTCTGAGTAAACTCTAATTAGCACTGTTGCTAATTTGCTTGAAACACTCTCACACAGGCTTCAAGCAGGGGCTAGATCGCATCGGTGTTAAGAGAAGGAAAAAAGCTATAATCTATTAGGAAGGATTACATTTGTAAACTAGGCATCCCAAGAAGTGATTTCAAGTTTGTTTGGGTTACAATTTTCTTAGAATAAAACATTTCACTGGGTGTGCTATTTAAGGGTTGTTGTATAATGAAAATGTTCAGCATTACCTTCTGCACCATCTCCTTAGTGTGCATCAAAATCTGAAATGAAAAAAATATTATCAAAGATTAATGTATGATATAATTACAAGTTAACATATGAGAATATCCATCACATAGTTAATTCCAAATGTTTGTGGCTTTCAAAACGTGAATAAAAGAACGGCCCTACTGTGTCAGACCAAAGGTCCATCTAGCCCAGTATCCTGTCTTCTGACAGTGGCCAGTGCCAGGTGCCCCAGAGGGAATGAATAGAACAGGTAATCATCAAGTGATCCATCCCCTGTCGCTCATTCCCAGCTTCTGGAAAACAGAGGCTAGGGACACCATTCCTGCCCATCCTAATAGCCATTGATGGACCTATCCTCCATGAATTGATCTAGTTCTTTTTTGAACCCTGTTATGGTCTTGGCCTTCACAGCATCCTCTGGCAAGGAGTTCCACAGGTTGACGGTGCATCGTGTGAAGAAATATTTCCTTTTATTTGTGTTAAACCTGCTGCCTATTAATTTCATTTGGTGACCCCTAGTTTTTGTGTTATGAGAATAGTAAACAACACTTCCTTATCTACTTTCTCTACACCGGTCATGATTTTATAGATCTCAATCATATCTCCCCTTAGCCGCCTCTTTTCCAAGGTGAGAAGTCCCAGTGTTATTAATCTATCCTCAGACAGAAGCTGTTCCATACCCATAATCATTTTTGTTGCCCTTTTCTGAACTTTTTCCAATTCCAATATATCTTTTTTCAGATGGGACAACTACATCTGCACACAGTATTCAAGATGTGGGCATACCATGGATTTATAGAGAGGCAACATGATATTTTCTGTCTTATTATCTATACCTTTCTTAATTATTCCCAGCATTCTGTTCGTTTTTGACTGCCGCTGCACATTGAGTGAATGTTTTCAGAGAACTATCCACAATGACTCCAAGATCTTTTTCTTGAATGATTACAGCTAATTTAGACCCCATCATTTTATATTTATAGTTGGGATTATGCTTTCCAATGTGCATTACTTTGCATTTATCAACATTAAATTTCATCTGTCATTTTGTTGCCCAGTCACCTAGTTTTGAGAGATCCTTTTGTAGCTCTTTGCAGTCTGCCTGGGTCTTAACTATCTTTAGTAATTTTGTATCGTCTGTAAATTTTGCCACCTCACTGTTTACCCCTTTTTCCAGATCATTTATGAATATGTTGACTAGGACTGATCCCAGAACAGACCCCTGGGGGACATCACTATTTACCCCTCTCCATTCTGAAAACTGACCACTTATTCCTAACCTTTATTTCCTATCTTTTAACCAGTTACCAATTCATGAGAGCACCTTTCCTCTGATCCATGGCAGCTTACTTTGCATAAGAGCCTTTGGTGAGGGACCATGTCAAAAGCTTTCTGAAAATCTAAGTACACTATATCCACTGGAACCCCTTAGTCCACATGCTTGTAGACCCTGTCAAACAATTCTAGTAGATTGGTAAGGCATGATTTCCCTTTACTAAAACCATGTTGACTCTTCCTCAACAAATCATGTTTGTCTATATGTCTGACAATATTGTTCATTATTATAGTTTCAACCAGTTTGCCCGGTACTGAAGTCAGGCTTACAGGCCTGTAATTGCCGGAATCACCCTTGGAGCCCCTTTTAAAAATTGGCGTCACATTAGCTATCCTCCAGTCATTTGGTACAAAAGCTAATTTAAAGGATAGGTTACAGACTACAGTTAGTAGTTCTGCAATTTCACATTTGAGTTCCTTCAGAACTCTTGGGTGAATACCATCTGGTCCTGGTGACTTACTGATGTTTAATTTATCAATTTGTTCCAAAACCTCCCCTAATGATAACACAATGTGGGACAGTTCCTCAGATCTGTCACCTAAAAAGAATGGCGCAATTTTGGTAATCTCACTCACATCCTCAGCCATGAAGACCGATGCAAAGAATGCATTTAGTTTCTCCACAATGGCCTTATCGTCCTTGAGTGCTCCTTTAGCACCTGAAGCTAACTATTTCTCTCTTCTGGTAATATATATAGCCACCCGAATACTCATAGTAAGAACACAAATCCTTGGCTCACCTAGCATTAAATGGCGCTTACTTACATGTAACTGGAGGTTCTTCAAGATGCGTGGGCCCTATATGTATTTCATACAAGGGTGCCCATGTGTGCCACACATCTGAGTCCGGAGATTTGACAAACAGTGTCTGTTGGTCCTCACCTGCGCAGTTGCTCCCCTAATGCTCTGAACTGAGGGCATCGGCCAATGCTTCTCAAGTTCCTCCTATTCCCACAAATCAGACAAGATCTAAAGCAAAGGGGAAGGGCGGTGGGTAGTGGAATACAGATAGGGACCACACATCTCAAAGAACCTCCAATTACAGGTAAGTAATCTGCCTTTCTTCTTTGAGTTCTGATCACTATGTGGATTCCACATGCGGGTGACTGGTAAGAAGTATTTGAACAGGAGGATGGGTGCAAGGATGCAGTTGATATGAATGTCTAATACTGCTGTCCCCACAGCTGCAACTGCAGAAGAGGCCTGGAGTAAGGTGTAATGCTTTTTAAAGGCAAGGATAGAGCTCGAGGTAGTTGCCTCACAAAGGTCCAGTATAACTACTTCAGCAATTTAGTTGTTGTCACGTGAATAAAGACAGTCACCTTCTGTGAGAGGATGGAAGGCATTGATTGCTGACAAGTGGATCCACAGCAAGCTAAAAGTCCTGACGTCTTGTGGAACAGGAGAAAGCCTAAAACAACAGGAATGTCTGCTGACTCTGGAGATAACTGTTCCCGCTGACAGTTCTAGGCAGAGAAACTCCTCCAATGAGCTAGAAAGGATTTTCTTGTGGAAAAACTTTCCTGCTGACACTTAGGGCAGCCTCTGAGCATGCAATTTCTATGTCTGACACCCATCCAAATACCAGGCTGTGAGGTGAAGAGGATAGGGTTGGTATGTCTGATTCCGGCATTCTCAAGAGTTAAATACAGAAAGGGTTGGATACAGATGGGAGGACGGGTTGACATTTGTAGAAGGTCAGGAAAACAAAACTGTCTGGGCCAATTGGGTGAGATATGGAACTCCCAGTTGGAGCCAGTGGTGCCAATCTTCCAGTCTCTGAGATGGAATCAGAGCTGGTACAGTCAGATCCTTCTTCCTTTGTGCCTTCCCTTCTTGGTTGGAAGATTTATGTAGACCTAATTCTTTAGGACTCACGAATGAGGACTCACCCAACTTGGACCAAGATGGGGAGGGATCCTTTTCCTTGGAGGCAGACCTAGATGAGAATCTGTCCTTATGTTATGACCATGTCCCCTACTCTTTGGCTTAACGTTTTCGATCTCTGTTCCGAAGCTCATGCTCAGAGAGGTGCTGCTCAGTCTGAAGTCCTTGTACTGGCGGTTCTCCCTGGCCTGGATCCAATTGGGGTCTCGTGGCATTCTCCAGGAGATGTTTCTGCAGATGGGGCTCTCTTCTCTAGTGGGCTCAGGGAGAAAAGGAAGAACAAATGCTGCAGTGATGTGAGCCTCTCAGAGGCAGTAAAGGCAGCACTTGTGTTTATCGCTGGTGGAGAAGAAATGTGGGCAGGAGATACAGTCCTTAAACCCCAGGAATCTGGGCATACCTTCTCCATGCGAAGAGGCTCCCCAAAACAGGGAGAAGCGAGAGACACTATACAAATACTTAAAAAAAAGCTAAGACTCAGGTTATTAAAAATATTGACTATATATTTACAGATTTTGAAAGTATAGGAAGATCATTTCAGACACAGAAGATTTCAACTCAGGCCATGCGGCAGAAAGAAGGAACTAGAGAAGCACTGGCCCATGCCACCCTTCATGACCTCGGTTTAGAGCACAAAGAGAGCAATTGCAAAGGCACAAGTCAAACCAATGGACACTATTTGCTACATATTTCCAATCTCCAGCACATGGAGCAACATGCATACCCGTGTTTGGGATATCAGCACTGGCAGCAGAATCTCTCTATTAGCCCACCTAAATAATATTAATATAGACTTAAAAATAATAACTGGAGCTAAAGATATTCTCATTTCTAAATAATACTTACAGAATGGCACAAGTCAGAAGGAATCTATAGTAGCTCATTCTAGTCCATTAATAGTGCTTCAAGCTAGGAACTATTTTGTTATAAACCTCTACCTCGATATAATGTTGTCCTTGGGAGCCAAAAAATCTTACCGCGTTATAGGTGAAACCGCGTTATATCAAACTTGCTTTGATTCATCAGAGTGCGCAGCCCCGCCCCCACCCCACCCCACCCCCCCGGAGCACTGCTTTACTGCGTTATATCTGAATTCGTGTTATATTGGGTCGCATTATATCGGGGTAGAGGTGTACCTTAGCCATTGGTAAGATTGTTTAGTCTAGCTATGAATATGGTCAAAGATGGTCCCTTAACTGGACAGTTCTGATGTATAACTTAAAAAATATTTTTCTAATGTTTAACATATGTTTTCCTTGCAGCGACTAAAGACCATTACTACCTTTGTCCCCACTGGCTAGTGATAACTAATCTCTCTGTATAAATATACCAACATCATTATTATAAAGGCTTTGCAGCAGAGACTTGAAATTTGGTAGGGTGGTGGCCTTTGTGTAAGTTTTGCAGTTTCCATGAAAATCTATCCAAGTCTGGCCATTTTATAAACCTTTGGGGGGGGGGGGCGGGGGGGGAGAA